CATAAAAGCATATCAAGTCTCAAAAGGTATAGGCAGAAGTAAGAATAAGGTAAAAATAATTTAAAAGTCAATCTGTAACCAGTTTCTATGTCCAGCTGAGCTTATTTCCCTGGACCTGAGCTTGTGTTTTAGAGTAGTAATCTGAGCTTGACATAAATAAGCTTTCTAACTGTAAATGGTGAATTTGAAGTAGTAGAAAGATACAGCCTTGAAGTTGTATATATTTGGTTTTAAAGCCCAGTTCAGCAGTTTTCTCTGCTTGTGTTCTGCAACCTGTTTCATTTATTTGAGCCTTAGGGTTGCCATTGGTAAAATGAATTTATTTCATTTCGGCAAATGTCTATCCCAGAATATTTGTAAATGTTTCATGCAGCAACTTTTTCCCATTCACATTACAAACATATAAATATAGCAACATTTAAAACATATCATCTAGCTCAGAAAAAAAAAAGTCCCCACGTTTAATCAATAAAGATGTGGTAATCATGCAGATTGATACCACGGTAGCATATAGGGGTATCTATTCTCTGGTGGTATGGAAATAGGATTTTAATGCCTATCTGGGAAAAAGATGGGTGTTCTGCTGAGGCATGGATTTCAAACTGAATATTTCTTGGAGCCTGGCAGCAAAGAACCTCCTTTCCAAAGCAAAGTCATTGGAATCTTTGCCAGATATAGTTATTGGCTGTGAATTTATGACACATGAGTATTGTAGAAACCGAGATTGAGAAATTAAGTTAGAAATTTGTCCAGGACCTGGTGAATTCCATCGGATATGGGCAGAAAAATCTGGTTCCCCTCAATAGGACTATTTAAATAACTCAAAACTTTCATGGAACTCCTACAGAAACTAAAATCACCATGAAAAGACTCTTGCGATAAAAACTGTAAACCACATGAGGAAGCAAACTATCTTAAGAGAAAATAAAGACAAGGAGAAAACAGAGAAACTTTAGCAGATAGTAAGGCAATAAAACAATTTGAAAAGGAGATTGTAAATTAACTGCTTAAAATGTTTGTAGAGGCAAAGAGAGACTATAATAAAATAACAGGTATGGCTGGGGATTGTGGCTCATACATGTAATCTCAGCACTTTGGGAGGCTGAGCAGGAGGATTGCTTGAACCCAAAAGCTCGAGACCAGCCTGGGCAATATAGCAAGACCTTGTCTCTACAACAACAACAAAAAAGTAGTCAGGGGTGGTGGCATGCAACTGCTGTCCTAGCTACTTGGGAGGCTGAGGTGGGAGCATTACCTGAGTCCAGAAGGTTGAGGCTGTGATAAGCCTGGATCGTAACACTGCACTCCAGTCTGGGCAACAGAGTGAGACACTGATTCATAAAAATCCCACAAAAACCCAAAACAGAAAACAAAACAAAACAAAAAAACACAAATCTTAACAAAAAAAGAATGAGGGTTTGACAAAAATAAAAATTAATAAATTTAGTTGAAGGGGAGAATAATAACTTGGATTTAAGATTTGCAAAACTGTAGTCCAGAAAAATAAATTAATAGAAATTTTGAAAGTAAGATTAGTAGAAAATGCCTAATTGAATTTCCATATGGAGCAGAGAAAATAGATGTAAGAAATATGTTTCAAGAGTTGAAAATTCTAGAAATTAAAAAAAGTTTTAATGCTAATATTAAAGTATAGCAAATCCTGAGGTACTTAATAGTAAAATGCAGATTAGATACAGTTAATTCTAAAAATAGTAGACTAAAAAAAATCAGATTACTATGAAAATTTATAATTAGACTGACAGTAAAATCTCATAAGCAAGAACTGAGACCAGAGATAGTGAAATTATGTTCAAAATGCCAAGATAACTGCCAACATAGAATTCTACACCTAGTCAAACTATTGTTTAAAAATAAAGGTGAAATAAGACCATTTGCTGACAAAATAGTCTGCAAAATTCTTCCATTCAGAGACTCTTGCTGAGAGAGTCTTAAAGATGCAGTTTAGTAAATAATAATAATAATAATAATAATAATAACCAGAAGTAAGGAATGGGATGAAAACAGAAATGGAGAAGTTAGGATTTAGGGCTTCAGAGAAGTAGAAAATTATTTGGAATATGTCTGTGTAAACTAAACCACCGGGCAATCAAAGATGAATAAAAATATGGTTAAAGTAGTGAGGAAATTTCAGAGATTAGATACTGTCAGGTCTGTGTAACATCACTTTTTACACAGGGTATCAATGGGGCAATTCAGGTGAGACAATATTGCTAATAGTTGAGTGATTTTCAATCTTGGCAGCACAATGAAACTTTAAAAGTTTTATACACACACACACACACACACACACACACACACACACACACACACACACACACACTAGTGGTTGGATTTCATTCCCTGAGTTTCCAATTTAGTTGGCTTGGAGCCTGTCCTAAGCCTTAGAGTTTGTCTTTGTTTTTTATGTACCCAAGGTGGTTTTGAGCAGCCAAGATTGAGAACCACTATAGTAGATTTTTAAAGAAGAGTTGAAGTACAGAAGCTGCCTCAGCCATTTGTCAGAGCAGAGAATGCAGCTCATTTTCATGGTGGCGGAGATCTTCTTGTACTCAAAAAAAGTGACTTAACTTCATTAACAAGGATTGACAAGCTTTTTCTATAAAGGCCCAGATTGTAATATTTTAGTTGTTATGGATCATACGGTGTCTTTTGCCACTACTCAATGCCACTCTTGTCATATAAAAACATTATTGTAAATAATATATGAACAGGTGGGCATGACTGTATTCCGACAGCATTTTATTTACAAAGGAGTGACTGGCAGGATTTGGCCTATGGACCTTAGTGTGCCAAACCCTGCTTTAAAGCATTAAAGCACAGTTAAAGAAACATTTTTGAGAACTATCACATTAGCTTTGGAGAGAGTAGCCTCATGTGCAAATAGGCCAAAGGAAATGCAACAGAATATGATGACTTGGGAAACTACATTTCCTCCTGGAAATGTCCTGGAGGGCAAATGTGAATAAATGAAACATCCAGCCGGGCTCGGTGGCTCAGCCTGTAATCCCACGCTTCGGGATGCTGAGGTGAGTGGATTGCCTGAGCCCATGGGTTTGAGACCCACCTGGGCAACTTGGCGAGACCTCATCTCTACAATAAATAAAAAATTAGCCGGGCGTGGTAGTGTGCGACTGTAGTTCCAGCTACTTGGAAGGCTGAGGCGGAAGGATCACCGGAGCCCAGCAGGTTGAGGCTGCAGTGGCCGCTTCCGGCCAGTCTGGGTGACAGAGTGAGACTCCAACTCAAAAAAAAGAAAAAAAAGAAAAAAAGAAAACATCCTGTAGAGAGTTAAGATTCTGCCCTCTACCCTTAAAGCAGTAAGTAATAATTTGATAACGCAGGAGAGGTTTGTTTATTTTTTATTTATTGCTTTACTTGTTTTGTTTTTCACATTTAGGAGGAGAACATGTAAATGGATGGCTTGGATTTTCTGTTTACTCATATCTAGATGCTTTGGGTTGTGAATTACATACTCATAATTTTAGCATATTATTGTAATCATTGCATCTGTATTAAAATATTTTCTCCTTTTCCTTCTTTAACCACATTATCCAATGTGATGGTCACATAAAAACATTTCTCTTCTAACATTTTGATTACATGTAGACAGATTGTCCAAACAATGCCTAGTTATAGTAACTGGAAGAGCAGGGAGATGGGTTTGCTGTCCAGTATGACTTTCAAATTTGACTTAAAATCCATTCCCTTTTCTCCTTCCCTGTCCTCATAACTGCTTGACTGACTTATGGAACTACTTATTTCACACCAAAATATAATTTTATTTACATTTTAATACCACCACAGTTTCTGTAACCTAATTCAGTTGCATCCTAGAATCAGTGACTATGTACTAAATTATCGAATATGTATTTTATATATGGTTATGAAATTCATAGTGTATCACCTTAGAATCAAGGAAATATGGCACTATCTTCTTTTGTGTTTTTGCTTCTACCTTTTCTCTGGCAACTACTTCCTGTGTTCCCACAGAGTTATGTTTCTAGGAAGTAAATCTGATCTTATCATTACCTTGCCTAATAATTTTGAGTGCCTCAAAATAATTTTGAGAGAGCTCAGAGCCCAAACTCCTTGGCATAGTATTCAAAGCATTGTTATCTGAAGCCTTTCATATTCTGGCCCAAAAGACTGGATCTATCCAGTCTCATTCCCCAACACCCGTCTCTCCCTCATGTCACTTGCTTCATTCCTAAACATCAGACACTTGATGCATTATTTCAATACAAGTGTTGTAAAAATATCGGAGGTAAGTTTAATAAAATGGGATTGGTGCTGAACTGAAAATAGCTAAAACAGGCTTTTCCTAAAGCATAATAATTTAAAATGGAAATGGATCCTTGTCCTTGTAGGAAAGGCTTGTCTTTTTATATTAGAGTGAGTTGCTGAAGTAGCTTGTAAAATATTTTCATTCGAAGCCTTTAAACATGTTAGACACTCTTCTGTTTGGAAGGATTTTGGTAAATCTATGAGACAGGAACAAGAGGAACTCTGACACTATGCCCAGTTAAAGAATTTTGAGTGATTAATAATTGGATATAAATGAGACCAAAACACCTAGATGAGAGTAAGGAGAAATTCAATTAGTCTTCTACGTGCTCTCTTTCTGTTTCCAAAGACCTGAATATTTAACAGTTGAATATATAAAATTATTTAAGTAAAATTATATATTTCACTTGTATTTTCTGCTCTGTGAATAAGCAGCTTCATAAGATAATCACTTTTCTCCACCTGCCATCAAATAGCATATAAAATTATAATTATTAGAAACATAAAAATGTGAGTTAATTGAAAATGTTCCAAAATTGTTTGGTTTGGTCTAGGAATGAAATAATAATAAAATAATCGTGCAAAATAAATTTTGTTGATGCATTTTGGCTAAGTCTTTCCTTTTATAAAATGGAAAGTAGGAAATTGCCTATTCACCATATGCATATTTATAAGGCTTTATATTTTTAATTTAGGTACGTGTCTTGTGCCCTGGGCTGTCCCTATGAAGGAAGCGTTACACCACAAAAAGTGACAGAAGTAAGCTATATCTCCAGCCTTTTTGGATTATGGTAAAATGATGTATATTGTTTTTAAAAGTGGGTTGTTGGCCTTACTATTTATTGCATCTGCATAACAAAGACTAAAGAGAGCCATGGAATGGGATGCTCTCCCTGATATTTGTTCACTGAATAGTTTTGTTTTGACACCGAACACTTGTATACTTACTAAAACTTTTTGAAGTTAAAAAATAGTTGAGCCCTATAATTTGGGTGCTGAAAGGTGGAGGAAATAAAAACCTCCGTTTTGTTTTATGTGGGTATAATATAGTGAGTGGCTTTTCCATTTTCCATCAGAATATCAGGGCAGGAAAGGCTTACACATTGCCTTGCTTGCTGAGGCAGCATCTCTTGTTTATCTCCTGCATACTTTGACACTTAGAGGATATACTGCTTCAGTGTTTTTGCTCTTTTGTGATCCTATAGCTCTTACTGCTATGACTAAGTTGCTGTTATTCCAAAGCAATTTGATAGCAATGGGTTATTGTCACAAAGGACCTGATTGTTGAAGTTCATTTTCTGCTTTCTGTCTTGATTATTAATGTATACCAATAAATACAAAATTCTGTCTTTAAGATTATATTAAGCTATCTCAGAATTTCATTATATCTGAAGTGTACCATTATTGTTAAGGTTGTTAATTTGGACAAATTTAATATGGTACTGAAGCAGTTGAAGATGGCAGTATTAGAAAATCTAAATTTAGGCAGGGTAAATTTTGAATTCAGTTAAAGCCATTCCTCTTGTGTGCATGCATTTGCACTTTTGAAATTTACTGCAGATTTTTCAGATGAAAGATATTCCACATCTTTGCAATTATGAATTATTCTGTGATGAACATGTGGGTACAGCTGTCTTTGTTATATAATAGCCTCTGTTCCTTAGAATAGGTACCTAGCAGTGGGATTGCTTGATCAAAAGGTAGATCTACTTTTAGTTCTTTAAGGAATCTCCACACTTCTTTCACCAACAGTGTATGTGTCCCCTTTGCTCCACAGCCACACCAGCATATATTGTTTTTAGAATTTTTAATAATGATCATTCTGCAAAGATGTGGAATCAACCTAAATGCCCACCAACTGATCAGTGGATAATGAAAATGTGGTATATATATATATACTTCATGAAATACTATACAGTCATAAAAAAGAATGAAATCATATCCTTTGCAGCAACATGGATGGAACTGGAGATCATCATCCTAAGTAAACTGACTCAGAAACAGAAAATCAAACACCACATCGCCTCACTCATATGTGGAAGCCAAATGGTCACAAAGAGGGAAATAGCAGATGCTGGGGACACCAATAAGGGGGAAGGGGAAGGGAGATAGTGTTCAGAAACTATCTACAGGGTGCAATGTTCACTATTTGGGGAATGGGCCACCCAAGACCCACTCCCTACCACTACAAATATGTCCAGGTAACAAATACATGTGTACCCCTGAATCTAAAGTAAAAAATTTAAAAAAGATATCCCATATCTATTATTTAAACAAGATCCTTGCTCACAGAGGCAAATGCACAATGAAATATGAAGTTTATTTGCACAGAACCCTCCCAAGACTCTGTCATTCATTTTCACTCACAATTATAAATTCTTTTTGTAAAGATATCCACAAAAGCATGTAACTTTGGCCCCACAAAACCTGGATCCACCTTTGCCCAACTGCAGACTTCTTGATATTCCTTTTACTCTGCACCATGTAGGGATGAATCGTATACCCTGGGCTCCCCATCCTGCATCTGAAGGCCCGAGGAGCTGAGAGTTATGTGCCAGGTACAGGGAAAACAATTGAAATTCACAATTACCACATACAATGGACGTTGTTAGGGAAGAAAGGTAGGAAGTGTGGGTGGGAGGCATATGACAACACAAAGGGTGCCTGGTCCACTACCGGGGGAGTGAGAGCCACCTAGGAGCCCAAACTTCACCTGCATGCAGCCTACTTATGTTAAATCTTCACTTGTACCCCACAACTCTATAATAAATACATAAATTACAAAAAAAAAAAAAAAGCCAGAAAGAAAAGAAACTCACAGTCTGCAACCTTAAAGGGGCTTTTTTGTGCTATTCTAATACATTTTATTGTCAACTCACTCTCTTCTGTCTGAAATTACTATTTTAAACTGTGATTACTCTAGTCCTTCCTCTTATCTACTTCTTTCTCATTTTTGTTTTGCTTTCTAACCACACTGTCCTTTGCATTTGACTTTTTCCCTGCCTGGAATGTTTTTTGCATTTTATGTTTCTGCTGCCTGGAACCCACTAGTGTTTGTATTTGATATTCCTCCTGGAACATTCTCCTCGGACCCTTCCTTCTCACTCTCTTCAACAAGTCAGTGTTTACTTTATCTCAGGTTGTCACTTAGGCCCTTTCTGCTTGACTGATCTAAGTCAATTTCTTTTGCTACATGCTCTTGGAATCTTGTTTCAAAATTCTTATTTTCACTTGTATTTACCCATTCCCCAATGGGATAGACTACGACCTGTGCTCTCTTGACTTCAGAGTCGATAGTAGCACAGCCATGTTGGTAATTGTTTCCTCAACATATCTCAGCACCTAACATAGTGCCTGGCATGAAAGAGGCACTGGAGAAATAGATGTTGAATGAATAAATGAATGAATGAGCACCATGTGCCAGATTGTGCAAAATGTGACTTTCATACATTCTCATTTCATTTTCATAACCAAATATGTCATTATAAGCACTGTTCTTATGACTGTAATATTTTAAAATCAAGTAAATTAGCCTTAAGTAATATGTTAAATGAGGATGTTTTTGTCTGTAATCTACAGCTTAGAGACCGAGACTTAAGCAGGTTAATTTTTTGCCCCATATAACATGACCAGCATGAATGGGAGCTAAGATTTAAATCCCAGTTTCTTGAAATCCAGAACTCGTGTCATTGTCAAAATACTATGCTGCCTTTGTGCGAATTATCATTGCTCTTTGAAAGTAACATTAGTTATCCATCTTGAAGAGACTTTTCAGTTTACCTCATGCAAATACCTCCATTTGTGAACCAGAAAACTTACCCAGAAATACTATGACTCTACCAATTGCAAATCTACTTAATGACAGAGTTGAAATTAGTACAGTTGACCCTTGAACAATTTAGTTAGTTTCTCAACCTCCTACCCAGTGGGAAATCTGAGTAAAACTTTTGATTCCCTCCATACATAATTGTTAATAACCTACTGTTGAATGGAAGCCTTATCTACAACATAAACAGTCAATGAATACTTATTTTGTATTTTGCAAAAAATTATACCTGCTGGCCTAGCTGCAGTCAGGGCTTCACAAATTTCATTTTCTTCTTTTATGATGGACTTTACTCTAGATTCATTTATCTTGAAATGGTGAGCAATTGCAGTGGCAGAACTCAATCTATGGTACATATCAAGCACTTTAATTTTTCTTGTAATGTCATGATTTTTTTCCATGACTTTTTTCTGTTTCTTGGGAGCACTGCCATAGTGACCCTTTGTGTGAGTCCCATGCCAAGGTTTACACTATTGTACTAAACACAGCAAAAAAACAAGTTGATCAAAAAAGTTTACTTTTTATTGCAATATGTGGTTTACTGGAGGGATGAAGTGATCATGCAGACATGATTAGCACTACTAGCATTGTAACCTGCAACATGGAACTTACCACAATAGAAAACGGAGGAGAAAGCTAATTTTTCCAGTAGTACAGAATATACTGTAGTTAATTTTAGGCAATTATGATTTACTACTGCATCTTTGCATTTGTTTACATTTCTCTTGACTGTGAATGACACTATATATGGTCTGTGTTTTTTTGGTCAGTTTTGATAAATTTAAATTTTTATCATGAATTTGTGTATATTTTATGGTAGTAAATGATAAAATAGACTAGTATTTACATATGTTTTATGCATTCATGACATTAAAAAATTTGTTTTCAGTATTTCTAGGCTGTGCAGTTTGTCTGTAAGTTTTTATCATATTGTTGCAAGTCTCCAAATAATTTTTCAATATGTTTATTGAAACAGGGCCATATATAATTGATATTGAACAATTTAAATCTGTGTTAAGGTTCAACTGTATTGGTAATTTTATTCCTAATCTAAAGCCTTGAGAAATACTACTTCCAAAGTAATCTGTAATTCTTCTGTTTGATTAAATTGTTGAGACATATAAGCCTCCCATAATTGAAATTGTAGTTTATACTGTCATAATGAGATAGATAAATTAAATTGATTGATTAATTGATAGGAGATATATATGACTGAAGGGAAACTTGACTATTAGAATAAGATAATTGCTGTTGTGTCATTCAAAGTCTTATTTAATGTTTAGAATATAATGAGCCAGGAAAAGGACCAAAAAACTATAGTGTATGTTTTCCATGGATATAACTGACCTTCATTGTGATTTTTTCCCCCAGATGATACTGACTGAGGAACAAGAGGGTTTGAGTCTGTTCATTTCTCTTATTTTACTCACACTCCACCTTTCTCAACAGGTGTCTAAGAGATTGTATGGCATGGGCTGTTATGAGATCTCTCTAGGAGACACAATTGGAGTGGGAACTCCAGGAAGTATGAAAAGAATGTTGGAAAGTGTCATGAAAGAAATCCCACCAGGTGCTATTGCTGTTCACTGTCATGACACATATGGACAAGCCTTGGCAAATATCCTTACGGCCCTCCAGGTATTTAGTATTATTTGTGTGTTATGTGTCAGAGTGTGCATCCTCATTTGTAGTATAAACATGTTGAGAACTTTAGAGTGGTAATGTTTATAAAAGGTTATGACTATAATGTTATGCAGTACTTGCCACATGACCAGCACTAGGGAAATATGTGTAAATTCCACGTGTTTTTAGGACTCGGAGGTCTCTTATTACTGTTAATTTGATTTGATAAAATCTATGATCTGTTGTTGTTAAATTATTAATCCTAGTAGAGTTGTGTCTGCTTGTATCAACTCCCATATGCTCTCAACCATAAAATTTAATAGACTAAACTGTGATGGCATTTTGAAGAGTGCAAAACACACACATAGTAGTAATGCTTTTTTTTTTTTTGATAATTTGGGCTCAATGATGGGAAGATATGATGCTGAAATATACACTCTTTTGCTTAAAGTGTTTTCCTGATGTTGGCAAACTTATCTTTGACAGAACTCCTGTTTTTTAAATCAAGTTTATTCCATTATGTGATAAAAAAGGAGAGATCTAGAAAATTGGAGGCTCAAGAATTGCTTATTATGTTCTGTGTTATTTACAATATGTTTATACAGATAGCATTTAAAGAGTATTGTTTTTAAATTAATGTCAGTTTCTTACATGGGGTTAAAAATAGATTTGTTTGATGTTCTTAGAACCCAAGATTTTGACAAGTAAAGACTGGATGAAATCTTTTTGGTGAGGCTGAAAATCAATATGTAAAGCTTACAATCCTAAACTATACAGTTGCTTGGCAGAAGTTAAAAAACAATGAAAAGATCAAGCTGCACAGGACTTATTTTGACTTTGTAACATATGTATACAAATCCTTATTTATCCTCTGGAAGCAAAGGAACATTCTATTGAATCAGAGAAAAGAGAAAGCGATATCTCATGGTCTTTGGGGTGTGGGAATTTGTATAATTTTCCTTCCCTAGATATTCTAGTTTCTGAAACAATAGAAATCTAGGCAACACTTCAGGATTTAGCAGCAGCTGCAACTTATTAATTGTTCCTGAGTAAGTTCCTGAAGGAGTGTCTTTCTCTCCGCCACCCCCCCCTTAATTTCTCTGTGCAGATGTATCCTCTATATTTTAAAACTTTGAGTAATATTTTATTTGGGTAACATATTTGCTTTATAATGATTAATGGTCTAACTCTTTGGGACAAAGAAGGGCTACAGTGCAAGATGTGAGAACCCAGACTTCTGCTTCTATTTGCCTCTGAAAATGTCTAAGTACAAAACGTTACTGATAACTCATTGTGACATTAATGGCTAAGGAAGGCTTACCTGAGGTAGGAATTCTTAAAATCAAATCTAAAGAATGAAAAGAAACTAATGGCCAAAATGGGTGTGTGTGTTATGTGTGTATGCATGTGTGTAAAAAAAAAGTTTCAAGCTGATGAAACTCCATTAGGGCATAAGGCCTAGGGAGAGGGGATGATTATGCCCCAGGAATTCAAAGAAGACTAATGTGTTCTGAGAAATTAAGGTTTATAAAATTTGATAAATTGAATTACATTGTCTCTGCTTAGAGAGATGAAGACTGAAATCTTGGGGCATTTGCCCATCCTATAACTGCTGTACAGGACACAGGAAACAACCCTGGGCTCAAGCAAGACTGGGGACACAGATGAGAACCTATATAAGGCCAGAACTCCCTAAAGACCACACCCTCAACCAAAGGTTATACCAGCAAAAAATCTACCCTGTAAAGGGAAAAGGCAAGTATATTCACTTCTCATGGCCTTGGATGTGAGTGGAAGAGAGTCAAAGTCTCCCTTTATACTTCATAACTTTTTGTAGACCCTCATGTGGGTTTACGGCTCAAATTCATTTTTGCCTACAGAATTGGAGAAACCTAAGCATATAAGTTATTGTCAGATGGTTATGGGTTAGTAGCATCCTCAGATGCCAAGAAGAATATATCTTTTTAAAGGAACACATCTCAACTTAAGTTGGACTATTTGGGGTGTGTGTGTGTGTGTGTGTGTGTGTGTGTGTGTGTGTGTGTGTGTGTGTGTGTGTGTGTGTGTCAGGAGAAAGACTGACATTCTACTCTTCAGTGGCTCCTGTGGTAGTTAGGAGAATATTCATCTGAGCTCCTGTAACTATCTTCTGTTATTTTTTACCATATGCACAAGGCAAGGAGCAGAAGGAAGGGAAGGGACCAAGGAAAGCAATAATATACTTCTAGCTTTGTGTTACTTTGCCCCTGAGCTTAATCTACAGTCACAGTATAAGTACATGTAGAAGAGGGTAACAGTGGTTTATATAATGAGCAATATGATGTGAAGCCAGAGAGGCCACTATAAGAGAGCAGTTGAGGGAATGGTCAAAAACCAAAGATGTGCTGAGAAAACAAAAAGTTGCAGAGTTGAATAGTTTTGTGTCTTTCCCACCATCCACTTTATACAGTTTGATAAGACATTGACAGCCTAAGAACGAAATAGACCCTGCTACTTTCTTGAAACTGTGTGTAACTGAGACCATCTTTAAATGTTCTGGGATTTTTGTGTTTATTAAAGAAAGCCAAATGTGGTACAGGAGCAACATTGCAAGTACACATGAGTGCTTGTTTCAAGTAGCACTAAGTATAGGTAGAATTTACCAGTGTCCTTTTCTCACCTTCTTCTACTCCCCAATAACAGCAACAACAAAATGAATGATACAACAACAACCAGCTTTTACTTTAGAGGAGGAGAACAACTGTCTTGAATAAAATTGTCGGTGTTTAAATAGGAGAATCAGAGAAAATCCAGCTTCATTATGAGCAGGACTAACCTTGGCTTCAGGAAGTAGAGGTCATACTTCATTTCTTTAAAATGGAATCTTTGAAGTGACTTCTAGTAAAATTAGTGGTGGATGTGGGGTGGATATCATTTGCTTTAATTTAGGGGTGGAGAAACAGTTTACAGTGCTCCAAACTGGAAGTTAATATTAAGGTAAGGAGACATGTAATAAGTGGAAACTTGGCCACAATGTTAGGAAACAAATGAGAGTTATAAATGGAACGTCCCCCTCGCTCTGGAAAGCACATACTAATCATGGAGTAGAAGGATCTTTCTTGAGTTCCCAGGTTTTATTGTTTCATATTACTTAAACATATGACTTCTGGGACTGGAGATGGTTGTATGGAAGTCAAGAATTCATAATTATCATATATATTATTTAATATAGGGAAATTATTCTGAAAGTATAGATTTAAGTGTGAGACACTTATAACCACTCAAAACCAAAAGAATGAGAAAATGAGGTGAGAAAACGTATAATATCTTAGTAACAGAAGAAATGTACATGGCCCAATATACTTGACTTAATTTTTTATTTAAAAATTTAGCTTCACCTTCTGCCAAGTACCTAAGTAAAACACCAGTTAACAAATTGTTTCATCTACTTAATACCAAACAATTTCTCAGTCTTTGTTTTTCTCCACTGGAATGATTTGATCCTCATAATTGGGTAAAAACTAAAGAAAATAAATGAGATCGAATACTGCAAATCACAGTCACACGTTAATTGGTAGCATAGAGACAAAGAAGAACAGGCAATACTTAGAGTTCTTGTGAAGAAATAGTGTGCTTTTTTTTTCTCTTAAACTTAAACTTGTATCCAATATGTCTTGTGTCACAATGTTTTCCATATGTTTATTATTCTCTTTTCAAAAGACCAAATTATTTACCCAATTTTTACATCAAAGCATTCATTTTTTGTATTGATTCTTACTAAAACATGTTGAAATACCACCCAGCAGCAAATCTTTCTCCATGGAATTTGTTTTTGAGTTTCTCAAGGAGAATTTTAAAAAACTCTCATTACTAGCCAGATAAACCTCTGTGTTTTTAGTTCTATATTGGGAAGAATGGATGTAAAGATGTCTACTACCCTGAATTGTACAAAGTTGAGATGAGGTGCCAACTTTCTGGAATGATGCTTTGATATCAATGTATTTGGCTGGACTGCTGGATTTTCAAGGTTGTATGACCAAGACACCTGAGCCACAGAAGTCTGTGAGAAAAAGATGAACAAAAAAACTTTCCATATTTTTTCCCAAGTGGTTGGATTGCTTTATCCATGATAAAGAATGGGTAAACATTCTAATGATTTTGTTTGCTTTAGTTTATCTCCAATATCTTTTTATCAATGTAAACAAACGTCTCTCTGATTTCAGCAACTGTTTTTGTCATTAGGTATAACAGTTTCATCTATTTCTAGATACCCACAGGTATAATGGATAGTTGGAAACAGGTGCTGCTGAGCAAGATGGCATTTTATGCTGATGTTTAATTAATCAATACTTTTAAATAACACCTGTAAAATTCTAGTGTAATGAGCTGAAAATGAAAGTAGTTAATCTTTATGTAACAGACTACACTTAGATCATGAAATTGAAGCTTACCAAGAAAGTAAACACATCTAAAACTGCTCTGCCTTTCCCACAGCATTCCATCCATGCTCATCATGTTGGTAAGCAACATCAAAATTGATTATTAAGTTTTTTCTATAAGTCAGAAAACTAACAAAGAACAAACACTGTGTTCATCAGCAGAAAGTTCTGTTTGTTTCCTTTTTGATCATGGCTCCACAGGTTGTGGTGTTAAAAATTGTTCCACACCCATATCAGTGCCTTTTATTTACAGTTGGTTGACGCTTTAGGATAAAGTAGGCATAGGGCACAACATGCGTTGTGATGTCTATTCACAAAACTCACAGCCCATTGGACCAAGGAAATTTTTTAAAACACATACTATGTAGTTAGAGCATCTTTCCAGAGGCTGAGTAGGTCAGATGTAGAGCCCTAGAGGGCAGATGTGTACAGAGAAGTAGAGTCCAGGTCCATTACTCTGGGAGAGATTAGAAGATGGAGAAGGTGCCTGCTAACTTTTTACTCCTCATGAGATCAAGTGTGTTTATTTTCTTGAAATTCCCCAGTGTCCTCCTAATGCAAACTTCTTTTTTTCACTTGAGACTTCCAAGCAATGTT